AATGTGGTGATTTACATTTGCTAATATGAAAGAAATATTATATTACAGGAATAATGATTAAGCGATATTATCTTCTTATACTTTGCTGGGTTCAATTTGCTCTTTCCTTACTGGTATTGTTTTTGACAGATTTTGTCTTTAAGGTTATGCCATGCACTTAAAATAAATTTTGGGATTTTTCCTCTTTGCAATTCTCTTTGAAAGAGGATGTATAAGTTGAAACTGTGTTGCTGGTACGTTTTATAGAACTCATCTCCAAAATCAAGCGAGCATGATGTTTGTTTTGTTTTGGTTTAGAGTAACATTTTAATAACCAACTTTTGTCTTTTCTGATCCTCTCTTTATGTGATAATTTTTATTTCATTTTTTACTTGTATTCTTTATCAGTTACTTCTATCTTTTTGGTTTATCATGATTCGTTTTTTCTAACTTTTTTGGTGGAGTTTTTGGTTCATTACACACCATTTGTCTTTTGTAATATAAGAAAAGTTCATAAATTTACCTCTAAACATGGCATTAGCTTCATCCTAGACATTTCAATATGAAGTATTTGTATTATCACTTCTATTCATCCTTTTTTTTTTTTTTTTTGTTTTTTTTTTTCTGGAGTGCAGTGGTGTGATCTCAGCTCACTGCAACCTCTGCCTCCCAGGTTCAAGCGATCCTCCTGCCTCACCCTCCTGAGTAGCTGGGATTACAGGTGCCCGCCACCACACCCAGCTAATTTTTTGTATTTTTATAAAAAGTACAAAAAAATACAGCCTGCCCATGTTGGGGGCTGTGATCCACTCACCTTGGCCTCCCAAAGTGCTGGGATTACAGGCGTGAGCCACCAAGCCTGGCCAATTTGATGGTTTTAAAAACAGGAGTTTCCCAGGCTGGGCCTGTCCTCACTTGAGGTCAGGAGTTCGAGACCGGCCTGCCCAACATGGCAAAACCCCGTCTCTACTAAAAATACAGAAATTAGCTGGGCATGGTGGCATGCACCTGTAACCCCAGCTACTCAGGCGGCTGAGACAGAATCACTTGAACCCAGAAGGTGGAGGTTGCAGTGAGCTGAGACTGCGCCATTGTACTCCAGCCTGGGCAAAAATTCACGTTACTGCACTTTTGATCTCTTGCCACTAAGAAAGGCACATAGGCCTTGGTGGGTCTTTGGAGGTTTTGGATGCAACACAGTTCACACTTGGGACTGCTGCTTTGACTCCTGCCAGGATGCAGGGCCAGCGACCTCCTGCTTGGTTCACAAAATCGAGCACACCCCTGGTGCTAGAAATAACTGTGGTACAGACAGAGCCAGGTGGCGTTTCTAGCAGAAGCCTCGTAAGAGAGTCACAGTGCATAACCTTATGATCCCAGATCCAGGCTGTGCGTTCCCCGGCAGAGGATGGACATTGTTCCAAAAACAAAACAAACAAAACTGCACGTTGGGACATTGGGGCACGAAGTGACTGTGTGGCCAGAGCAGTCTGCCACAGGAGCTGGTTCTGTTGGGCCCAAGAAGTCCAACAGTGGGGCGGGCCCAAGGCCATCCTTCCACTGCAATGGAAGTGGTGCTCCAGCACCCACGGCGTCCCAGTGCACAGGTAAGCACAAGCAAGCTCCTATGTCACCCACTGCTGTGACTCCAGCATGCTTCCTGACAGCAGCCAAAACCTGCCCCCAGGGAGAGGCTCTCTTTCACCAACAGCTTGTGTTTCCAGGTTCCTGATGGCGTCTCTTGATGCACAGAAGCTCTTAAATTGACTGTAACAAATGAATCAGTGTTTTACCTTATGGTTAGCTCTTTTTGTGTCTTATCTAAGAAA